AGATTCACCTAGAATTGGCTCATCATTTTTCGATTAGAAAATGGCTGGCTGAGTGAAATCCGAAGTAAATACCTTCAGGAAGGTCTAGAGGCTACCAAAGGAGTCAAGGCCACCTTGCATGTTGACCAGGAAGCAAATCCACAATTCTGCAAGGCCCATCCAGTGCCATTTTCCTTACAGGAAAAAGTAGAGGCAGAAATCAGAAGGTTGGAAAACGAAGGAATCATTAAACCAGTCCAGTTTGTGGGATGGGCAGCACCGGTTGTACAAACTATGATGCTCAATGGGTTGGCTCACTAAACAAATGGTAAACCACTTTTTGCAGCTGGATAAATACCCAATCCCTAGTATAGAGGATTTATATGCAAAGTCAGCGAGTGGGGGGTGCTATCCTTCACAAAGCTGGACATGAGCTACATGTACTTGCAATTGCGGTTAAATGAGGATTCCAAGAAGTATGTTACAATTAATACTCTTAACGATTTGTACCAATACATGAGACTGCCACTTGCAGTACTGTCAGCCCGTTCAATTTTTCAGTGAATCATGGAGATCATTTTACAAGGTCTACTCCAGGTCACCATTTATCTACTTGCCGAGCTAATAACAGGAAAGACCAATAAGGAACACTTAGACAGCTTGGACGTAGTCCTTTGACAGTTCTCCCAGATGGGCATACTCCTTAGAAGGGGCAAATGTGTTCTCCAAGCACCCCAAGTGATTTACCTGGGCTCCAGAGTCAGCAAGACCGGGTTATTACACCCATTGGAAGATAAAGTGAGGGCAATTGAAGATGCCCCGGCTCCCACGTCTGTACCGGAACTTAGGACTTTCCTTGTGCTGGTGAATTATTACAGAAAGCCTCCATACTGGAACCTTTGCATCAACTTTTAAAAAAGGGCCAGCCTTGGAAACGGTTGTGCAGCCAAATCATAGCTTTCAGGTAAGTGAAGAAACAGCTATCCTCTGAGGTGTTGGCACACTATTATCCCAAGTGAGATCTGGTACTAACTTGCGATGCCTCCCTGTACAGCATCTGGGTAGTATTAGCTCATAGGTGGCCCACTGGAGAGGAATGCCCAATAGCATATCCATCCAGGAGTTTGGCTAATGCAGAGCATAAATACGCCCAAATAGAGGAGGATGGTTTGGCGGTCATATTTGGAGACAGGAAGTTCCACCAATAACTTTTTAGACGTAAATTTGTAATAATAACGGACCACAATCCCCTGGTCAGTCTACTTAAAGAGGATAAGGCAGTGCCACCCATTGCTTCAGGCTGAATTCAGCAGTGGGCCCTCATTCTAAGTGCGTATAATTACAAGTTGGAGCACAATTCCAGAAACCAGCAGCAAACATGGATGCATTGAGCCACCTCTCGCTGGCAGATTCACCACCGACGGTACTGCCGCTGAACAGTCCATAATGGTTTTTCTGGACACACGTCCAGTCACAGCTGACAATATCTGACTACAAATGCAGAAAGATCCAGTCCTGGCAAAATTGAAACAGCTGATGGTGATGGGCGAACCAAAGAGCCATCACAACCAGAACTGAAATGTTTTTTGACCTGGAGAGACCAGATCACTGTAAAGGATGGCATATTATTACGGGGAGCAAGAGCAATTATCCAAAGCAAAGGTCGCCACCAGGTACTGGCTGAATTCCACCAGAGTTAAAATGAAGGCACTGGGAAGAAGTTATGTCTGGTGGCCAGGATTGGATGCAGACATAGCCACATTAGTGGGGCATTGCCCAGGGTGCCAATAGGGACAAAAATTACTACCAGCAGCTCCCCCACATTCATGGGAATGGCAGATAAAACCTGGACTCGGTTACGTGTTGACTATACAGATCCTTTCACGGGCTCAATGTTCTTACTCATTGTAGACCCTTACTCAAAGTGGCTGGATGTGCATATAGTTCATTCATCAAACACGGGGATAACAATAGAAGAAATGTGCACACCTTTCACAATACACGGACTCCCAGAAGTGTTTGGCACAGATAATAGGCCATTGTTTACCAGCAGGAAATTTGAATTTCCTAAAGTCGAATGGGATTCAACATATAAGTAAATCCCATACCATCCATCACCCAATGGCCTGGCAGAAAGAGCAGTCCAAACTTTAATAGCTGGCTTAAACAAACATCTTACAGCTTCACGAGATACCAAACTATCCCAGTTCCTATTTGATTATAGGATTACCCTTCATACAACTATAGGGCTAACTGCAGTAGAGTTGCTACTAGGGAGAAGCCTCTGAATCAAGTTAAATCTGATCTTCCCAGAACTGGGGAGAGGGTGAAACGGCATCAGGAACATCAATGCCTGACACTAGACTCCGCTAAGTGAGAGACAGTTTACTTCAGGGGACAAAGTTTGATGCAGGAACCACAGGAATGGCCATGGATGGGTAAAAGGCATGGTTGACTTGAGCTCAGGTCCAATGACAAATGAAGTTCAGGTAGTTACGAAGGTCCTGAACAAGCAAGTGAACCATATGAAACCTGCAGACTCGTAAACAATGCAGGAGCAAAACGTCCCCAGCTCCTCAACAGTCCTTCTGACTGTTTCAGAACCCGTGGGATCCCCCTCTCTGTCAAGCATTCAAGATACCTCGGAATCTGTGATAGACACCATGGATGTCACTGCCTCAACGCCTTTGCCACCTAAAAAAGAGAATGAACTTCTTCAGAGATGTTCCTGGCGCAATAGGCAAGCTACTGTGCGTTAAATGCTGCTCGTATCCATTTTCTTTCACATAGGCACCAACGACATAGGTAGGAAAAGGGACGGGGATGTAAGGCAGAAATTCAAGGAGCTAGGGTGGAAGCTTAGAGCTAGAACAAACAGAGTTGTTATCTCTGGTTTGTTACCCGTGCCACATGCTAGTGAGGCGAGGAATAGGGAGCGAGAGCAGTTGAACATGTGGCTACAGGGATGGTGCAGGAGGGAGGGATTCAGATACCTGGATAATTGGGGCTCATTCTGGGGTAGGTGGGACCTCCACAAACGGGATGGTCTACACCTGAACCAGACGGGTACCAATATGCTGGGAGGCGAAATTTGCTAATGCTCTTCGGTAGGGTTTAAACTAATTCAGCAGGGGGATGGGAACCTGAATTGTAGCTCCAGTGTACAGGAAGTTGAGAGTAGTGAGGTCATGAATAAGGTTTCAAGGTCGCAGGAGTGTACTGGCAGGCAGGAAGGCGGTTTGAAGTGTGTCTACTTCAACGCCAGGAGCATCCGGAATAAGGTGGGTGAACTTGCAGCATGGGTTGGTACCTGGGACTTCGATGTTGTGGCCATTTCGGAGACATGGATAGAGCAGGGACAGGAATGGTTGTTGCAGGTTCCGGGGTTTAGATGTTTCAGTAAGATCAGGGAAGGTGGTAAAAGAGGGGGAGGTGTGGCATTGTTAGTCAAGGACAGTATTACGGTGGCAGAAAGGACGTTTGATGAGGATTCGTCTACTGAGGTAGTATGGGCTGAGGTTAGAAACAGGAAAGGAGAGGTCACCCTGTTGGGAGTTTTCTATAGGCCTCCGAAAAGTTCCAGAGATGTAGAGGAAAGGATTGCAAAGATGATTCTGGATAGGAGCGAAAGTAACAGGGTAGTGGTTATGGGGGACTTTAACTTTCCAAATATTGACTGGAAACACTATAGTTCGAGTACTTTAGATGGGTCAGTTTTTGTCCAATGTGTGCAGGAGGGTTTCCTGACACAGTATGTAGATAGGCCAACAAGAGGCGAGGCCACATTGGATTTGGTACTGGGTAATGAACCAGGCCAGGT